CCCCAAAACCCCAAAACCCCAAAACCCCGTAGATTGCAATAATAAGTAGCAATAAATTTTATTTTGAGATTAACAAAAGATTGATAATTCAAGGTTCCCATAAATATAATCCTCCCAAGTTATCTATTGAAGCAAATTTATTACCTCTTGGTTGCCATTCACAAGCAACTACAGTAGTAGTGTGGAAATGCTCATAGATTTCTTCTAATTCTCCGTTTTGAATATCGAAAATGATTATATTTCCATTTAGAGATCCCATAGTTGCGTATCTGCTATTAGATGATATGCAAAGCTTGTTTGTTTAGGTCCCGCACTTATAGTTCTCATGTTCAAATTTATACACTTGCTTGTATGTCCTTGAATCAAATACTCTAAGAGTATGATCACTAATAGTAGGAATAAAATGATATTAGCTGTAACTTACGTTCCCGTTGAGACTAAGTACTTTTCATCTGGAGTAAATTTAACACAAGAGATTGAGCTATCATGAGCATTTTAAATTTCATATACCATTTCATTTGATCTTAAAGACCACAGTCTGATAGCTTAATCAAAATGACCACTCACAATGTACTACTCAGAGATAGAGAGATTCAAGTCAAAACATTAAGATTTGCAAACATTCTAAAAGCATTATACTTTTATTTAATACTTACAGTTTTAGAGCATAATCCTTTTTCGAGATCCCAAAATTTAATGGTCCTATCTAGAGAGCCGGTGATCAAACTTTTCTTTGAGAAAGAAAACTTATTTGAGCTAATAGTGTCCTTATGTCCAGCAAATGTTTAATTAGTTCTTCTTGTCTTCAAACTCCAAATCATAGTCTTATGCTCAGTAGAGCTAGCTGCCAATAGCTCGTTGTCCATAGATATTGCAATATCTGTAATTGGCTTTGAGAAACCTCTAAGTGATGTTCCATCTTCTTTGCCAGTATTAGCATTCCAAATTTTGATCAAAGCATCACCACCTCCAGTTGCAATAGCATCCCCTAGAGGATTAAAGCATACACATGTCACTTCTCTCTTATGAGCAGGAATCTTAAACTGTGTCTTTGTTGGTACTTTTATCTCTTATAGAGTAGGGATCAAGTACTCTGGTTTAATGAATTCATCTAAATTAAGGCTCGATCCAAAATTTATTTAATTTTTCTCCTCTTCAATCTAAGATGATCTCTTTCCCTCCTAATCAATGAATAAAAATGAAATTTTTCCTTACTGATTTTATTCTTTAAGCCTCCATATATATTTTATTAGCTTCATTTAAAGCTCTTGCTTGCTCATCCTTCAATGATAAAATCTTACTGACTAAGTTTTGGTTATCAATGCTCAAATCTTTTACTCTCCTAACATATTTTTACTCTTTCTATATTTTTATTACAATTCGAGTTGAGCAATAATAGATTTCTAGCCGTCGTATTCTTGCTTTATTGTCTTAGCTTATGAATATTATATATCATAATCGTTCTGCTACTTCTCCATGATGCTTTCACATTCTCTCAATCTATCTTAATAGAGAGTGTTTTTCTTCTCGAGTTCTCTAACTCTCTCAGATAAGTTATTATTCTCTCTCACTTATTTCACAACTTCTTCAGTCTACTAATACTATCCTTGATACGAATTATTCAGCTGGCCTTCAAGTTCTCTGATTCTCTCCTCCATCTTTACCATTTAAATAGCGTCCCTATAGTTTTATATTAGATTAATCCTAATCAGAAAAAATGCTAGGTTTGCTCATGACGTACCCTCTAGTTTGTTTGATAGCATAATTTTCCCTCTCTAATTATTTGCATTAGTCTTGGATGGTCTTAAGTTGTTTGAGAATATCCATATAGTGCTTGATTACATCTTTAAATTAACTTTTCTCATGGTTATTTCTTTCGTTAATCTATTTCAAATAATGCTGCTGGAGATCTTTCGGACAGAACATTTTTAATTATTAATGTAAAATTATAATTCTCGTAGAATATCAGGTACGTGGGGTTTTGGGGTTTTGGGG